AAAAGAAATACGAGATTAAGAAATAAAAGAAACTATAAGGTATCTAGCATCTACTCGCCGTCTCTGTGGATCGGGCTCAGGAACTAGGTCCTCTGATCTGAAATAGTTAAATAAGGAATGAGCTACACTAGCCCAGTAAGGACATCACCCTAATCACCGTCACAGAAGTAAATGTTGGTATAAAATTAAAACAACCAATGGAGTAGTAGATTTAAACAAATTCATTTATCAATAATCAAACCATTTACCGTCCACTTACCGTAGTGAGATTTATAAAAATAACCTATAGAAACAATAACATTATAAATATCATGAATTCATATATAATCTGTAACATAGCACATATCATACTTTTATATTCAAATCATCAAACAATAATTGCCCTTTTTTATTAGCCTACTAATATACATGAGGATCCATAGGGGTCCCCGCTACACGTGAACCATTCCTCTTAACAAACTTAATTCCAGGGCTATCCCCATACCCCGTCCGGTATGAGTACCAAAACAATAAACCTCAATACCCCGTCCAGTATGAAGGTGAAGCGGGCCGTCCCCATACCCCGTCGGTATGAGCACCAAAATCATAAAGTCTCCATACCCCGTCTGGTATGAAACAACATTCACGGTAGGGTTTTCTATGAACCCGATCCGTCCACCATCTCACAGGATATCTAGTGAGGCTGTCATCTTATCAATTTATCAAATCACATCCTTTTCCTATTTTTCCTTAGTCTCTGTTACTAACTCAAACACGAATACATAAATAAGTAACATGCATCCAACAAAGCAAGCATATATTAGATTCCCAAAATCAAACAGTAGTGGAGTAAGCAATGATTCATGCATTCAAAATCATAGAATAAATAAATCAGATACTATAATGCATTTAAACTGTAAAATAAATCAAACAGGAATTAACAGAGAAATATGTCCGGTTCGGGCTCCATTAGCAACCGAAATTAGTTATGCATATCTATTTAATTTATACAAAATACATTATTATCATTTATTCAAAATTAAATTCCATGATAAGAGATCGAGTGAGGGGTCCTCACCTGATTTGACGCTGAAAACTAGATTTTCACTGCGCCTACGAGCGATCCCTAGGTTGCTTGAATTTTTTTTCGGGAACTGAAACGCGCTTATGGTACCTACACATGTCCCAAATAACTCAAAAATTAGACCCATGGCCTATTCAGCCAATTTTAAAATTCCGGCACGGCAGCTCCACCGTGTTCCGGCGATGGCACCGCCGCTCGCAGCGGTGATTCACCTCGGGTTGGCTGTTTTCAGCTGAATTCAGCCAAACTTGCATCAGTTCCTGTGAGAAAACACCTTTAGGGCCCTCAGTGGGCCGAAAAAATACAGAAAACTGAAACTTACCGGCGGTGGGGCTCTCCAGTGGGGCAGCTCCTCCGGCTCACGTCGCGGTTTGGTATTTTGCTCTCGTCAACCTATAGAGGAGGAAACGGTAATCACAAAGATAGAAACGGTTTCTGATTTTTCTTTCAAAAATACCCCCAGAACCCAAATTTTCACCCATTTTTCCCAAAATTATTTTCAATTAAATCCCTAAATAATTTTTACCCCTTTTTATTATTATTATTTCCATTAAAATAAATTAAACTAAATTAAATTCAATATATTATTACATAACTAATAATTATATTCATATAATAATTACAATAATAAAAAATAAAATAAAAAGAAAGGATTGGGGTGTTACAGAGAACCCTATCGTGAATATTGTCTCATACCAGACGGGGTATCGATGAATGAAATTTTTGGTACTTATACCTAACGGGGTATGGGGACGGCCCGATTCACCCTCATACCGATTGAGTATGAGAACGGCCGGTTAGTTGACAATGTTAGATATTGATTCACGGGTAATGGGATATCCCTATGGGCTC